TAGGAGCATTAGGACAAATACCAAATGCATGCAGGGCTTAAAACCTACATGATGGGTTGATAGGTGTAGCAAACCACCATCGTACATGTATACCTATGTAACAAACCTGCACGTTCAGCACATGTATCCCAGAACTTAACATAAAATTTTAAAAAGTAAAAAAGTACTTCCTTTGTAGCAGTAACTAGGAACAAATACAGATGGGAAAAAAAAAAGAAAAAAGATAAAAAAGAAAAATTCTAGCACTATATGACTACTTTCATTCTCTCAACTCCTAAATGTTAATGTTTTATCTTTGACCAACTTCCCCAACACTATAACCAAAAGGGGCACTTCCACCCACATCTTTGGTCCACCAACTACAGGTAGTAACTTCCAAATCTCTATCTCCAGCCACAATCTGTCTCCTGAGTATCAGACCAACATATATCTCTCTGAACATCTTCACTTAACTGTTCCATAAGAATGTTTAGCACAAAGCACACCAAATTGAACTCATTCCCAATCTGTTCCTCCTATATGACTATTCTGGTTACTGGTATCATGCTCCAAACTCAGGAGTTATCCATTCTGTTTTCTTCTCCTTCACTAATACTGTATTAGTCAACAAGTCAAGTTCCACTCTACTTTAAAAGAAAAAAAAAAATTTTTTTCATACATCTATATCCTCCATTTTCAAGGCCTCTGTCTTGGTTTAGACATATACCTATTTGAGACTCGGATTACTACATCCATCTACTAACAGTTCTCCCTACTTTCAATCTGGTTTTTACTTCAATTATTCCTCTATGTTGCTGCCAACATGATCTTTCTAGAATACAATTTATGTCATTTCCACCATTTAAGAAGCTTTCAATGATTCAAAATAAAAACTTAAAACCCTTAGCAGAATATCCTGTCTCCTGCCACCTCTTTAGCTTTATTTCTTCCCCATCTTCCGTGTAAAACACTAAATTCCAAACACAACACTGCAGTTCCTGGAAAAAAGTCATACTGTTTCTTACCTCGATGCCTCTGCATATGTTATTCCCTCTTTCTAGAAGGTTCTCTTTTTGACATGGTAAATTTGACCTACTCAAGGCTTAACCATCTTGTATAGCTTTCAACTTCCTCCATTTCTCCTTGATCCCACAGCATTTAATAGACACTCATACTATATTACAATTGTCTATCCTTTTCTACTAAACTTTGAACACTGTGAAAGTGAAAATACATTTATTATTCATTTTTGTGTCCTAAATGCCTAGCACATTGTCTGGAAATAGCAATTGATCAAAACTATCTGAAAAATGTTTATGCCTTTTTCTAGAAACAAAACACTTAAAAAACATTCCCCAACAGACACAGAACAAAACAGGTACTTAAGAAAAACAACAGGAACTAGGCAAGAGGCAACTGAGAAAAATAAATGGGACAGAAAAAGAAAAATTAAACACATGAAGTCTCTTCAGGTAGCTCCTGAGAGCACTCTTGCATGCTCTTTGTCTCATATTCTCTCACCAACATGTTTTATCTATTTAATCTTCAATGCTTATTCTGATTTCCTAGAAAATAAGTGGTAGGCACAGAGAGAAAAATAGAAAGCTTTACTTAAATCAGCTATTCCTCAAAAATGAGCACAGTCAGAACTTTCAAAATGACATAGTTAAGACCCCTGATCTATGGAGTCTCAATTTCACTTCTAATAGTTACCTCCTAAGAGTTGAGATTACAATGCACATTTTACAAACCAGTTATCGTACATTCTCCCTTAACAGGTTCCCAAAAACTCTTCCTGAACTTTATTTTTTCTCTTATAGAGAGAAATTATATAAATTCCCTATTTACTCTGTAAACATGCTTTTACATTTATATACTTAAAATACTTTCCTTCCACGTTGCCCCAATTGGTCCTTGAACAAAAACTTCTCCCAGATGAATTCTCTCTACTACTATATTGCCAGTTTTCCAGGATCACAAACGAAAGGAACTAGAGAACTCTCTTCCAAATACGGGGCCTCTAGTGTTCTTGATCCCTTTCTTTTCTTCAGTGGTAACTTACCCAACGTTGCCCACTGATGTAAAACAAATTCAGAATCCATTCAAGTTCACAATTAAGTTTAGATGTGTGTGAGGGACTGGGATTGTGTAGACCAGACTCTACATAACATATAAAGTTAGAAGTCCACAACAGTTACTCTTAGTTTGATGTAAACGTAACCATTAAGTAATATTCAAACAACAGGTGCCAAGTTTGTAATGAGCACTAACTGAAAAATAAAGGCATAAAAATCCATGTCATATCTAGCAGTATCTAGTATAACAGTCATAAATTAGATGTTCTGAAGAACATGTGGGGGAAAAAAAGACTTGGAAGTCTTAAATATATTACTCTCTGGTGATAAAACTTCTCTAGCCAGGTTTTTTTCCCCTCCAATCATTAGCTCTTCTCTAGCCCTACTCTTTCAAAAAGACCAGTTCTTCAAGTATCTTTCTTGGTAGGATCCACCCTACCACGTCTAAAAAAGACCAGTTTTTCAAGTATCTTTCTTGGTAGGATCCAACCTACCACGTCTAACTCCCAGGCTTAGGTTAAGCTGCCTTGCAACTGTGATAATTACGTTATCCAAAGAGATCACTATGTTTAAATTTATCTTTACCTAGCTGCCAATTCATTAATTCCAGTAGATCAACAATGGTCCGGGAAGACAGGAAAACTGTTCTCTACAGACGCATGTCAACTAATAAATTCAAACGGAATGAGGGAAACAAAAGAACCACCATTGGAACGCAATGGCAAAATCCATCAATGAATGCTAAGATTAGTAGTCATCTGCAAGCCTGAGAGTACCTACCCCCAAATATGTATTAATTTCAAAAGGGAAATAGTAAGTTTACAGTAGAGACACCAGGCGGATTATTACTTTAACCAAGTGATCACAGTTATCATCACCAGTAAGAAGGCATGTTAATATCACGTGACCTGTGACATTAAGTGTTGAGAAGAACACTTCAGCCCCTGTGGTATTCTCAGTAATGCGTAAAATCAATTAAACCATGAGAAAACACCAGACAAACTCAAATTGAGAGGCATTCCATAAAGTTAACAGACCAGTACTTTTCAAAAAATTATCAAGGTAATGAAAGATAGGAAGACGAGGAACTCTCACAGAATGGAGATTAAGGAAAAAGAATGACTAAATGCATTGTAGAATCCCCATTGGATCCTGGAACAGAAAAAGGACATTAGTGAAAGGGCTGGCAAATTGTAAATAAAGCCTGTAGTTAATAGTATATTGTAGCAATGTGAATTTCTTGCTTTTGATCACTGTACCCTGATAATGTAAGATGCTAACACAGGGGGAAACAGGATGTAGGGAACTCTGTACTGTCTTTCTAACTCTCCTGTATGTCTAAAATTATTCCAAGAGTTTTAAAAAGCTCAATTCCAGTTACCAAGCCTACTAGGTCAACTAACGCATTTTTTATTTATGCAGTTCTTTTTTATACCCTCTTTCTCTCCTACAACCTATTATCAATTTTTTTCTGAGTTGCTACTCTTTCCTACTTTTTCCCTAAAAGGCTTCCAAGTGTTTACGTTTTAAGACTTCTCAAAATAACCTTATTTCCTCCCAATAGAGAGCTACTCTCCTTCCTGTAAGGCCACAAAATGACCTACCTTAAAAGATGTAAAATACTTTAATACAGTATCTTATAGCTTCGTAACAATTAGCAATACAAAAGTGCTTGTAAATACATTTACATATGTAAATTTTGAGATGCATAAACACTTATTATTTTATAGATGAGAAAATAAGACCAGAAAAATTAAGTGATTGACACTTAATATTAATAAATGTCAGAGACTGAATCTGAATCCAGTTCTTCAGGCTCCAAAACCAAATTACCTTATTAAAATAAAATGCTCTGTACCTGAAAAGCGTCAACTTCCTTGGCTTCAGACAAGCGAATTACATCAAATAGACCATGATTTTCAAGGAAGGTCTAAATTTTCCTATTGTTCTAAATGTCAAAAAGCTTCAATAATTATACAAATAAGAATTCTGGAAATCATTGCAAATTTTGTGCTCCCCCTAACCATTCTTTTGATTTTTTAAAAAAAGCAGACTTTAGTCAACTCCCCTTCAACTTTTTAGGTCGAAGAATCGCTTACCTCTACTTTCATACCAGCTCCAACTCATGCTTTCAAGTATCTGAGCTGTAATTCCAATTTCTAATTCCATTCATTTCTTTATATTTGCAAATGAAAACTTGGGGCAATCCTGCAGGGCCCCGAGCCCCACGAAATACTCTGAATATCTTTTGTCCTTCACTCAAAAAAAACAAAAAAAAAGTCAAACGACTTATTGCTAATGCATGTGTCCGTTTAACATTTAGCGCAACGGTGTAGGGCGATGTAACACTGACTTGAGACGTCGGAGGAAACAACTTTCACCTGACTTAACTGGCACCAGCATTTTTCTCCTTCACAGTTTGTAATCTCCTGCCTTTTGTAATCTATAATCTTTTTCATGTTACCTGATTTCTATATCAGCCAAGTGAGAAAATTATTTAAACCAAACCAAAACAGCTGAGATTAAAGAAATCATAAATTACGGAAATAAGCCTTTAAATTTGAAAACTAGTAAGAAAAGCATTAATTTATTAACGGGCGCTTACTATGTGCAAAGGCACTTAAAAGAACAAAAAGCTCCTGAGGTCTTTGAGCACTTAACGACGACTTGCTCATTTTTGTGATCTCCTACCCTCACCCTTCCAGCACCTGGCATCTGCAGGAGCTGAAAAGTTGAACTGAATTGGGGACGCTGAAGTAACAGGATATGCTCCGGGGAGAAACCCGTGGGAGAAACCTTGAAAGTGTTATCGAACAGCATTACGCTGTTTAATTCAAACAGAACAGGTTGCTGCTTTGTTTAACCCCGCATGGGGGACTGGAACGAGAAACCGGGACACCGAGGGACCCCAAAGGTCTTGGGCAGAGAAAAGGGGGCGTCACTTGCCTCCCATTCCTGCAAGAAACGCTGGGCCTCGTCAGAACCAACGCTCTTATGTCTCCTAAATTCGTCTTTCACGTACTGGTCGCCCAGGGCTTTGAGGTCCGGAGGCAGAACACGGTGCAGCTGCAAGACGCGCTTGTACAATGCCCGGACTCGAGAAATGTGCAGTCCCGGCATAGCGCCGCGGGTCAAGCGGTGACTACGCCTGCGCAGAGGGACGACACGTTCCAGCCCTTCTGCGAAATTGCGTATTAGTGAACCGGAAGGTAGACGAAAGAGGGCGCGCGACCTCTATCCGGTTTGGTCCCTTCCAGAATCAGGTCCTTCCGGAAACCCAAGCTCCGATGCGGGCGGAAAACTGGTCGGTCCTTCTCTAGGAGGGGCGTGGCCCTCGGGGAGTCGCGCCTGCGCCTCGTCGTGGCTTCTTCTGGGCAGCGTCCTGGCGACACAGGCCTTGAAAGAGGGAGGTCAGTAGTGGGCAGTTGTCACTTCTCAGTCCCACTCCACTGTCTTTTTCATGCAACTTCGTTTCTGTTCCTCCTACCAAATTTCTTGTTCCAGTTTTTTTCTGGTTTCCTTTGGAGTCAAAGAACATGTGTAATACCTCTTTCAAGAGCCAACACTTGTGAAAATGTGAGAAAACATTCTGCCAATGAATTAATTAAAAAAGGAATTAATTGAGCCAGAAGAGAGTAGAAAGGGTCCACAAAGCATTGGATAATCAATGCTCAAAAATGGCAGATGATGGGTGAAGGAGAAGCCAAGACAAGTGGTTAGCCCTTGAAAAGTGGAATCAAGCAATAACAGTGAGAATAATGACAGTTAACTTTTATTTTATTTTTTTACAAGCTGAACAGTGAGCTACATTTTCAGGACAAAACTTCCTCTGTTTCCCTGACCAATTTAGGCTGATCAGTGTTGCTCTTGTGGTAAAAATAGCCATGAACTGAAAATAAGATCACAGTTATATTTCTGGCCACCGATCTAGATCACTACACTTCATGCAGACCTTTCCTTTATTCCTTCATGTGTTTCTTTTTTTTATATGTTACTCTGCAAGTGATTTAACCGCTCTGTGCCCAGATTTTCTCACATGTAAATGAGCTGGGTTAGGTAATTTGCAGTGCTTTCCAGCTTTACTAATCTCTAACCATGACTTCTCTCAGATTCCCTCCAAAATGTTTTGTAAAGTGAAAGAGAACATGTATCCACTCTTAAATAATTGCTTTAAAATTTTTTTGTTTAAAGAAACGTGGGGTAAATGCCTTAAAATTATATATGTCACACATCGCCTAAGCCTTTCAAGGCACACAAAATATAATAACCACCTACAGCCATAGGGATGATCAACACAGCAACTGCACTATTCAGCGTACTGCTTCTGTGGACTACCTCACACACAACTAGAAATGGAAGGAGACGGCTAGAGACAATTTTTGACAAGCAGATAAAGAATTTTGAGGTCAAAAGAGATGGAGAGAATTGGTAAATAAGGAAAAGTAAATTAGAGAAGAAGAAACACCTACATGAAGTGTACTGAATTGTTACTTTGTATTATACTCTTGTCTTGACTAAAACGTTGAAAATAAGTCTTGCTTGCAAATAATGCTAAAGCATTTTTCTCTCAAACGGAAGTGAGAAAGGAGTGGGGAGGGGGAGAAACATAACAAAATATTTGGAAACTGCTTACATCATTAGATAAGAACACAACGTTTTTACGGTGTTGAATTCAGTTGCACAAGTGGCTTAGTTTTCAAATTATAGTTACACAAATTTCAAGTTCTAAATTATTGAGAACAATGCAAAGTCTGGGACAAGATACATCTTTAACCCAAACAGCTCTCACATGCTTAGAAGCCTAGAGAGATGTACATACCGGATCTAGCCATTGTGACTACCCATAGTCCCCCAAAACAACACCAGAAATTGTCTTTCATTTCCCACCTCACCTTGGAGTCTCAACTTTAGGTACATCATTGTGTGACGATGAAAACTATAAAAAGGAAGGAGTTATTTAACGTTTTTATATGGTATCTGATATGTCTAATTATTGAAATGCAGTGGTAAGATAGAAGATAGTCTTAAAACCAAAATTTCAAGCTTAAACATACTGTTCAAGGAATTAGAAAAGTAAATACATTCATGGAAAGTCCATTCTCTGAAAGTCAGTTTAGAAAGCATAATAGTCTTGAGTATTTTTCTGAATTTCTGAAACAAGTTACATAAAAAATATCAAAGAGAAACTTAATGTGTTTGTATCTGGAGAGAAAAATCAAAAGGAATGTTTTTAAATGTTTGTAATTGTTGATTATTGAGAACAGAAAATCAACTGAAAGTCCAAATAAAATGTTATATTTTATAATTTAAAGTATTAATGATATACTATAGGAAAAAAAATGACCATTGCTTCAGAAGCTGAAAAACATTTGACAAATTCAACACCCATTCCTGATTTTAAAATAATGATAATAGCCAGGCGCGGTGGCTCACACCTGTAATCCCAGCACTTTGGGAGGCTGAGGTGGGCGGATCACGAGGTCATGATATCAAGACCATCCTGGCTAACACAGTGAAACCCCGTCTCTACTAAAAATAGAAAAACAATTAGCTGGGCGTGGTGGCGGGCACCTGTAGTCCCAGCTACTTGAGAGGCTGAGGCAGGAGAATGGCGTGAACCCCGGAGGCGGAGCTTGCAGTGAGCCAAGATCTCGCCACTGCACTCCAGCCCGGGCGACAGAGTAAGACTCCGTCTCCAAAAATAATAATAAGAATAATAATAATAGTTAAAAAAAAAGAAATCAATGAATTCTGCAACACAAAAGCCAGCATCTTAGTTGATAGAAAAACATCTGACAAAGTAGGCAAAATTTTGTATTAAAAGGGAATGGAAAAAAATCCATATACAGCTGACCCTTAAAGAATGCAAGGGTTAGGGATGCCAGTTAAAAATTCGCATATAACTTCTGACTCCCCCAAAACATAACTACTGTGCAAAAAGGATAAACTAAAAACCGCATTATCTTGTTCAGTTGATTATATTATTCAAATTTTCTATACTTTCTCTTTTGCCTCCTCGATCTTTCCATTTCAGTAAGTAGAGCTTTGGATTCACCCACTGTTGATCAGAAGCCTTATTAATTCCATAAACAGTTGATTAACACATACTGTATGTGTATTATATACTGTGTTCTTATGGTAAAGTAAGCTACAGAGAAGAAAATGTTAAGAAAACCACAAGGAAGAGAAAATATATTTACAGTACAGTATTTATTAATGCCATAAGTTTATGTCATCTGTTTCCAAGATGAATTGTATGTCAGAAATGGCTGGCAACCAGAGGTGCAGACCTCAATCTATGGTATATATCAAGCAATTTAACTTTTTCTTTTAATGTCATGACATTTTTCTGCTTCTTGGGAGTACTTCCAGCATTGCTAGTGGGACTTCACATGGGTCCCTTGGTGTTATTCAAGGTTTACTCTACTGCACTGGATGCAATAAAAAATGTGCAAGAACTGTGACAAATTTTTTTTACTGGGATATGCAGTTTACTGGATGATGAACTGTTCACACAGAGATTATTAGCATCACACAGTGATTTTTTTGTTTGTTTTTTGTTTCTGTTTTTTTGAGACGGAGACTGCCTCTGTCACCCAGGCTGGAGTCCAATGGCATGATCTCGGCTCACTGCAACCTCCGCCTCCCGGGTTCAAGTGATTCTCCTGCCTCAGCCTCCCCAGTAGCTGGGACTACAGGCATGTGCCACCACACCCAGCTAATTTTTGTATTTTTAGTAGAGATGGGGTTTCACCCTGTTATCCATGATGGTCTTGATCTCCTGACAACGTGATCTGCCCACCTCGGCCTCCCCAAGTGCTGGGATTACAGGCATGAGCCACTACACCTGGTCCTAGCATCACACAGTGTTTTAAGCAGATACTTGCAAACCTGAGCTCACCAAAATAGCAACAGGAGGTGGCTATGAAATTATAATAGTATAACAGTATGAACCACCATTAATTTTATGCAGTTATGATCTAATACTACACCTTTATGTTTGTTTACATTTCTCTATACTGTGAATGGCCCCATATACTGTCTGTTCGTATGTGTAAGTTTTGATAAATTTTAGTTTTTTTCTAGTAGATTTGCATATATTTTATGGTAAGAAATGATAAAAATAAACTAGTATTTGCATTGTATTTTATGAATTTATGACATACCTCACATTTCTTAATTTTTTAATATTTTTAGGCTGTGCAATTTGTGAGTTTTGTCAAACTGTCACAAATCTCCAAAAATTTTTCAATGTATTTTTTTTAATCCACATGTAAGTGGACCCGTGCAGTTCAAACTCATGTTGTTCAAGGGTCAACTGTATTTCCTTAGCTGTGCAAAAAGAATAAACTAAAAACTGCATTATCTGGTTCAGTTGATTATATTATTCAAATTTTCTATACTTTCTTTTTTTTTTTTTTTTTGCCTCCTTGATCTTTCCATTTCAGTAAGTAGAGCTTTGGATTCACCCAGTATGACTGTGGATTTGTCAGTTTCTCCACATGAATGTATTTGTTTTTGGTTTGTGGTTTTGGGAACTATGTTGTTAGACACATTAAGACTTATGTGTATGATTGTTATACTTTATTATACCTTTCAATAACATGAAATAGTTCAAGTTCCTTTCAGTATTTTTGTCATAAATTGTATTTTATCTGGCCAGGTATGGTGGCTCACGCCTGTAATCCCAGCACTTTGGGAGTCCGAGGTGGGCGGATCATAAGGTCAGGAGTTCCAGACCAGTCTGGCCAACATGGTGAAACCCTATCTCTACTAAAAATACAAAAAATTAGCCGGGCATGGTGACACCTGCCTGTAATTCCAACTACTCAGGAGGGTGAGACAGGGGAATTGCTTGAACCCCGGAGATGGAGGTTGCAGTGAGCCAAGATCGTGCCACTGCACTCCAGCCTGGATGACAGAGCAAGACTCAATCTCAAACAAACAAAAAATTATTTTTTATCTGATATTAGTATAGTTACAATTGCTTTTGTTTTGTTAGCATTTGCTTCAAGTGTTTTTTTATGTTCAACCATCACATGTCATTTTGTTTTTCTCCTCTTTACTATAACTGGGTTTTATGCAGTCTCTCAGTTGATCAATTTAGCCTATTATTGTGTTTCATGGTCTGTTTGGATTACTCCCTGCTGTCATATTTTGTGTTTTCTACTAATCACAATTTCCAGATTTTTTTTGACTGTATTGCCTTT